AGGCGTTAGATTGCGACGTGTCTTTGTTAGAGGTTACGAAGCGCGTGCCAAAAGCACATATTCAAACATTCTTCCTGGAACTACAACATAAATACACATGTCCCGAGCACTTTAGAGATGCCTCAAAGTCCAACACTTCCGTGTCGCGCGCAGCCGTCAGCCCATCCTTTTCGGAAGCCGGCCTACTGCATTCCGATACAAGAATTTTACTGGCGAAGCTTGTGTGATACTTGTGGTCGTTAAACACATTATACAAATAAAACTACCGAACGCCATAATATACACATTATCCCTAAGCGTAGTAAAAGCTATGAAAACTCTTAAAGCGCACAAAAACATCGTCTTGTCTCATTTTGCTCACTTTTATGCTCAGTCTGCTCGTCCAAACAGCATGTTGCAGTCGCTGGGTACCAGGGCCCCGCGAAATACAAGGTAACACTTTGGTGGACCAGCTAGCTGATCTGCCAACAAAGCCGCTACGAATACGTCGAGACCAATTTCTGCACTTGACTTGAGACCTTTTCAAAAACAAAATATCAGGGGTTTTCGGCAGATCACATGGGACACACAGAGGTAATAAACTGCATGTATGAAGCCGCAACTTGGTCACTGGCCACCAGTATAAATATTACGCCACGCAGAAGTGATACTTACAAGGTTAAGAAAGGACATGCATACACAACACATTCATTTCTTTATGTGGTGGTGATACACCTTTGTGTAATAGATGTGGAGAAGTGCTCACCGTACTTCACATTCTGATCCAGTCTAAATAACTAGACACGCTGAGAAGACAACACTTTCCAATACCCTACCGACAACAGATACCACTTCACACTGTAATGTTCGTGAGTAGGGAACCATTTTTCACACAAATCGTTGTTAGCTTCTTTGAGAGACGTACGTACCTTTCACGTGATACACATGCATTCCGTAGCATGACCTTCCACAGAGGTCTCGGCTGTGATGGCTACACTGAACAAACACTTTCCCCGCGGTCCTTGGACGCAAGGGTGTGAACGATCGAGCACTTGTGCTAATGCCCTACGTGCCCACCATGGTTTCATTATCCCAAACTATCATCATTCATTGATACCACATATTTCACGACATAGTCATGATTTTATTGACTATGGCATAGTCATATGGCATATTGACTATTGACATAGTCATGGTAGGTGTAACCTTAGGAGACAAGAAGAGAGCAGAGTGGATTAGGGGACAAACGGGGGTTAAGAATCATAGTGAAATAAAGAAGAAGAAATGGACATGGGCCGGGCATGTAGCGCGTGGACAGGATAACCGCTGGTCATTAAGAGTAACTAACTGGATTCCCAGAGAAGGGAAGCGGGTTAGGGGGAGACAGAAGGTTAGGTGGGCAGAAGATTAAGAAGTTTGCGGGTATAAATTGGCAGCAGCAAGCACAGGACCGGGTTAGTGGCGGAACATGGGAGAGGCCTTTGTCCTGCAGTGGACGTAGTCAGGCTGATAATGATGATGATGATGATGTTTTTGCCTGAATTAGCTCGAAGAACTTTAAGGTCCTTATACAGTCGCTAATCACAATCATTGTCCACATCTCTAGTCCCATGAACCTGCGCTCTTTGACCATCAGATGGCTCTTGCTCCACAAAACACCAAAATCATCATCAATACGCACGCAGTCTTAGGCTCTCCGCCGTCGCTTTATAGCCATTTGTTGGGCTAACTCCCGCCTTTTTTGAAAGGCGAAGCTCCTTGGGCCCGCACCACACCACCAAATATTTATGCAATATGAATGCTTCGCCGGCGGCACGAAAAGACAATGAAACGACCCATCAATGTTGAACCCCTGCGCCAGCGCTAGACAAGTGCGCCAAGCAAAAAACTGGTCCGCGCGTGAGCACAATTCGCTGCGACAGGAGCACACTTCTTTATTGGTCTCTGCCATCTCCCCTGAAACCAGCGAACGCATCGCTTCGCCCTGTCGTCCAGCCAGTGGATGCTCAGTTGCCTTTGCTGGCTCGCACTGCGCTGCGCACGCTGCATACTCACTCGCTCCGTCGTGGCCGCCTGCGAATACAGCAGCGTCTACTCCACCTTACCGCGTTCATAGAAGCTAGCAGCGAGATGACGGGCAAATTCGTTTGCGTCCCATTTCTCAGGCCCATTTCTTTGTCCCATTTCACTTCGGTTTATTCGCACTAGGAACAACTGTTATTTTTGTTCTTTTTTAGTGGGAGTTGTGGTAGTTGGCTTTGCACATATTCTGTGGCATATTTATAGCGAGAATAGTTTTTTGATAGTCCACAAAAATGTTGGTGGCACATGCCAGTTCACTTGGCTAAGTGTGGCTACATGAATTTCCACGGACCATTTGTGAGAAGCGGGATGAACTCACTTTTTGTGGTACATGCCCGTTTATAGTGGTGACAGTTTTTCGGTACCGTGTGAACAAGTAATGAGCTGGCTTAAGCAGCTTTGCTGTTAAAAAATATATAGTGATGAGATAGACAAACGACAAAAAAAGAAAAGTAAAAAGAAACAAGGACGGTCCGCCCTGCTCCGTTGTTTATTTAGGCTTGACACCATTGATGGGAAGCTGCCACAATATTTTATTTCTCTACACCAATATAAGCGCTACAGGCCCTCACGAGACCGACAACAATACAGAACAGTGAGAAGACGTACAAATTGCAAGTCAGTAAAGCTTGTAGGCGCTTATTTCTTGGAATGCGTGCTCTGGGATGATTTCACGAAATATGTGGCTTTCGATATCTACAGTTCTAGAATTTATGACACGGGATTGACACACAATCAAAACAATTGATAATTGCATTAACCCCAGTCTTTAGAGCTGAATCCAACGTTTCGCATATGTTGTCCATATGGATGGTGATGCTGAAATATCTTTATTCTAGCCCAGAGAGGGCACAGGGGAGCCACCCGACTAGTTCCACATACGGGCCGCCAACCGAGCTTGGCAGCCCGATTGCGCAGACTCCGATTGTCAATTATGCAATTATTACGTATATACATGCATGGATTATCAGCTATTCAGAAGTGCTTAGGCACTTATCACCAACCTCCCGAAGGAACACGGTACGCGTAATTTAAACAGTTGTTTTAAATTTATGATTATCTTTCTGCGCTCTACATTTGGCTAGCAAGCTTTGTAAAATATAGGTAAAAGAAGCGTGTAGCGATTATGACAGCTCTAAATGGACGTGACTTTGAATAGGAGTGAGTGCCTGCAAGCAAAAATAAAAAGTCACAGCAAAGCGAAACGTGCCTCGCGTTTCTCACGCACAAATGACGCATCAAACGTACTCACAGACATATGAGAACGCGAAGATAAGCGTCTCAGCTCCTACTTCGCTGTGTCTGAAAAGCGCGCCCTTTTCGCAAACGAAATGACCTTTGTGCACCCCAAAACTACTACAGAATCGTTTCATGACGTGTGATCCTCCCCACTGGAAGAGAAGGGCGCACGAGGGATCGCCCACTTCTGCGCTGTGTGCGCGTGGTGTGTCTCTCTTTTGTGTCCTTGTCGTGGTGCGCTGTACTCTTATAAATGATGATCCCCCCTCTCTCTGGATCAAAGTAAGCATGAGAGATGAGACAGCTGCTGCAACGCTTCATTTTTACATCTTGCTGACAAGGGTGAAATCACAGTAGTTCTCCCTCCAAATGCCCGCCAACAGCGGTGAGTGGTATGATATAAATAGCTTGCCGTTTGACTGATTGATTGATTGATATGTGGGGTTTAACGTCCCAAAACCACCATATAATTATGAGAGGACGCCGTAGTGGAGGGCTTCCGGATATTTCGACACCTGGGGTTCTTTAACATGCACCCAAATCTGAGCACACGGGCCTACAACATTTCCGCCTCCATCGGAAATGCAGCCGCCGCTGCGGGATTCGAACCCGCGACCTGCGGTCAGTAGCCGAGTACCTTAGCCACTAGACCACCACGGCGGGGCTTGCCGTTTGACTGCTGAAGAAGATACCCCTCGGTGGCTCAGGATTAACGCCTCGCATTCACGACGCGGAGGTCCCACGTTCGATTGTGCGCGCCAAAGCGTTTTTACTGAACTTTTTCTTCGCGTTTTCATATATACACATACGTATACTATACGGTGCATGACATCGATGCTGACGCCCACGTCACGCCATTGGCCAAATCTAGCCGAGAGTGTCTATATAATTCCTATCGCAATAAAGGAAGTACCTTGCAGTGTCGAATAACATCCGTCGCGATTGAGTAGATGCAAATATGAGTGACTGAACAAAGTGAGTGGATTCGTGAACACCAGTAAATGTGGGGAAGAGTAAGTCTGAGTAATACAGAGGAAAAAAGACGTCAGTGCGAATGCGATTATAAGCGTAAGTAGACGTCACAATAACAAGTAGACGTCAGTACGAGCATGAGTGAGTTCTGACCAACGGTGAGCGCGAGCAGCGTGAGTGGAATGCGAGAAGCAAGTGGTGAATGACTTTTGCATGAAAGTGAGCACCGGTGATAGTGAATAGTGATGAAAATGAGCGTTAGCAAAGCGCTTAAGAATGAAAGTGAGTCAGAAGCTGTGCGTATGAACAGATGAGAGAATAAAAGTGAGTGAGCAGGTTGTAAGTTTGAACAGGAGTGAGCGGCCATGAGCATGTGTATGAATTTAGTCAGAAGTTGTGATTGAAATTTGATTATGAGCGTGAATACGCGCGTTATGTATCAGCGTGAGTTGGCATGTGTGAGTACATGTATCATGAACATGAGTAGCTTGGAGTGGGAGTAAACATGAATATTAACGAGTGTGAATCGATGCGAGTATGTAACTGAGTACCTGTGAGAGTGAACACATTTATGACACGAGTGTGTACGCATAAGTGTGAGTAGACATTTGTATGAACGTGAGTGAGTGTGAAGCGTGAGATAAATAGCGTGAGTGGTGAAGTACGCTCATTCCATGTGCGAACATATGCCTGTATCATTCTCAAGCTTCTTTGTTTTGCTCGCGCAGCCAGTTCGCTGCCAAGTGCGCCAAGTGTAGCCGGGCCATCGGTGCCTCCGACTGGTCCGGCGTGCCCGTGAGCAGGTCTACCATTTGGCCTGCTTCGCTTGTGACGCCTGCAAGCGGCAGCTCTCCACCGGTGAGGAGTTCGCGCTGCATGACGGACGGGTGCTGTGCAAAAGCCATTACTTTCGAGCTACTCGACGGGGCTTCCGGATCCAACGACGGTGGGTATACATGCAATACTCGCGTATACGAACCATCTACTTTTCTCAATAATATACCCTTCAGATGAATGGGGGACTCTTACTACCGTGGTTTCGTGAACGGACACCTTGGTACATCTGTATATACGCACACCGCAATACGACCACTGCTGAACCTACTAGCTCTGCAGTAGAACACAAAAGAACTGGGCACTGTCGTCATTGTTGCACCCTTTTGTGGAAAGCATACATTAATCTTCACATCAATTTCGGTGTGGCCAGTTCAGGGAATTTCGGCTCGTACGAGTCACAGCTGATTGCATTTGAACACTGCCTGTAAGCATACGAAAACAAAAGACCTCGCACCATTCTGAGGGTGTGCTCCACAGATGGAAAATAACACCCCCTATAAATATCGAAAGTTATTGACAAATAAGGTTAGTTTTCTTATTCGTATATCTTCATGATATTATTGAAAAGGAGGGCTGTTGTCATAGGCAGGCTGAAAGAAGTAAGCGTGAAAAGTTTTCACTCAGAAGTACTTTGCAGCGAAGTATGTTGCGTAGTGTAAACGCTACAAAGAACAATCATGAAAAAATTACAGTGCCGTCACATAACGGGAAACCCGGTTTACGCGCAATCGGATCAGTGCTATCTCTTTTTGTAGTAAGACGGTAGGTTGGGCCAGTTGGTTGGGATTCATCGTGAGCTTGTTTGCAGGGCAACACCAGAAACACAGGTGTTTTTGCTCTTCTCCTGTCCCGTGTTTCTGGTGTTCTGCTGTAAACACGTCTATCTCTTTTTCTATTGTACAGAAAATGATGGAAAATCACGTTTGTTTTGTGTAACTGTGGATAACTTATAGATGCGTGTTGTCGTGCTCCGGATGGCATCACATCGTGTCTAGAGCACGGGAATTGACGCCTTCCGAACGGAAATGATCTCTCACAGGTGACACTGACATTCACACACAAAGCACACGCGCCAAACTAGGTTGTTGATGAAACCTCCCGAAAAAATTGCGTAGATACCTCGTGAAATCTGGGATTCTGCTAGGCCTTGCGAACGACAGTAACTTTATTTTAGCCTTGCGACAGCCAGTATGGACGCCCAACTATGACACTGCCTTCATTGGGCTTCCATACTGGCTGTTGGTCATTTTATAATAAGCGCCCGTCTGTGACAGCCGCTTAAAACGTATGTACCTCGCTAGTCTTTTGTGCGATATTGACTTTTGTCCACATTGAGGGCCGAGTGTGATTTGTGTCGGCCAAATCACGCCCAGGCTTGCACCGCTTGCGTCGCTGCTGCATCGTTCTCGCTCTGCGGTGAGACGACCATGTGGACCCGGTACTTCCGTAGCACGAACATATTCTGTAGCCATTCCGAAGGACAAGGCCACTCGGTTTTGTGGGAGGCAGCAACGCTTCATTTCCTTCCAAGACATGACCGTGGTAGCGAGCCTAGTAAAGGCGTCTACCAGCTACCCATTTGACCCAGCTACTGATCATCAGCACGAATTAAGGCCGAGCTTGGCTGTAATAGGTGAAAAGATTCGCCAACACATTCACTGTGCGTTTCATGGGGTATACCTGGTGCGATGGTGTCCTTTTGCCACACACAATATTCCATCCATTGATGTGACTGCTCGTGCAACGTGACGCTCCCACAGGTTTTTTTTTCCCGAAGTAGTTCAAGTACTGTTGTTGCCTAGTAGGAGAATATTTGGATACCACACATAATTGCTAGATTAGATTTCTCGTAATGATGACTAAGTAAAAATTTGTTGCAGTAAATCTTCAGCGTGGTACTCGTAGAAGGGGCATGAATGCTTAGATGCATAAATTCAGGACTTGAAAGGGTTAACGCCGAAAAGGCTAACTGCTTTATTGTTTTGTCACTTCGAATAAATCATAAATCACATGCTGTCCGTAACTATGATCAGTTGAATGTTCACTGCATCTGTATACGTACGTATTCCTGTTTTTGTCCTGTCTTCTGCTCGCAGTTAGTTTGAAACTTTGTTGATTTTTTCAGTTGAAGCTGCTGCATGGCACGATCGTCATGTGAAAATAAGTGTCTAAAAGTTAACACTGCAGCACTTATGAGAGCAAGACAGAGTGGGGCGTACAAAGGCGTCATTTATGAAATGGCTACAAGAACGCATAGCGGTGTCGCAAACACATGTGCGGCGTTTTTGAATGCACGGCCGCGTGCGAACGCGTCAGCACCGCCACTTAGTCAACATTCACACAGTGCAGCCATGTCCACGAGAACGTCGCGCGATCTGTTGGCCAACGAAACATCGTCCCTCCAACGGATGTGTATCATGGGTGTTTGTGCTCTTTCAGGCAATTTATTTCGTGTCTCTTTAAGTATGCTAATTTCCACTCTCGAAGGGAACAATGGTGCCCAGACAGCATGGGCGTGCAGCTTGTTTCGCTTCTATAGAAGACTAATAGAGATAAGCAAATGAACAGGCTACTGCTTCTTCAAAAATTTGCAAGTGAAGATTTCGTCTATAGTAACGAATCTGGAGAAAGGGCTTTTCCACAAACAAGCAAAATTGTAACATTTATGATGCGCGGCGAGTTTGACAGCGAGACATAGTAGCTGCGTGATGAAACAACCTCTAGTTCTTCATCATGTGGTCAAACTCTGTGCGAACTATGGCGCTCTGTGGCGTGGCGCAGTGAGCACAGCAACGCGGCAATAGTAAACGAGGAGAGCGGGCGGGCCCGATCCACGAGTGTCTGTTAAACTGATTGACGCGCAAAACAGGGCGCAAACTATTCTATTCTGAGAAAGTCTTAGTTAAACTTGTGCTGGTGTTAGTGTCATGCGGTAGATGCTAAGTAGCATCCCCTCCGCACATATATAAAAGTGTGTCAAAGCCGCAGCCATCAGCAGTACTTCTGATTACCTAGTTTTCCAACAGCCCACGTAAAAACGTAATTTTCCCTCCTTTTGTCGACCTAAACAGGAAGTGGGAGCCTTGTCTGTGCGATAAAGTATCATACCTCATCAAAATTATTAGCTCCATTATTTCAGGTTGTGAAATAATGGAGCAAATTATTAACTCCATTATCTCAATTGTGAAGAGCACCCAGTTTTTTAACGATGACTAACCTTGCAACACTTTTTGAGCATGGTCAGAAAACACTGCCCACCGGTAGTAGAAGCTCCCGACAACACGCGAGGCAAATAATATAGCTCAGCACGCGACCTGAAATTCACAAAAATTGCTTTCTCTTCTCTGCCTGACTTGAACATGGCGCGCTCGTTCTTTACAATGATCGCCGCGTAAGGCTGCGACTTGTGCACGCATGTGCGCGGTCACACTAAAAAAAGCTGCGCATTTGAAAAAAAATAGAAAAAAAATTGTCAAGGTCACGAGGTGCACGTGACGTTTTTATTTGCCCCTGCCATTCCTTCCTACTTAGCTTCCAGCGGCTTCGTCGGTACGAGAGAAGAGAGAATGCAATTGCAGCATGCGACAAATCTTGTAACTCCAATTGCACTGAACGGATTCTCAAAAATTTTGCGGCGTTAACTTCGTTAGGCAATGAGCTCTTCCAGTGCATTCGTTCCGTGGTTACTTAAAAAGTGTGTCAGGGCCCCGTGGAGCAACGCCATGCTTCGCCAAACACTGCGACGCAGACAAGGTGCTTGCTGCAGTCACGTTGAAGTTTTTCAAGAAGAATCAGCAACATGCACCTTATTATTTTATTTCCTGTTTCCGCCAGAAGAGACACGCATTCAAATATACAAAAAGAATTTTGCTAGAGTGGTCAGAAAAAAAGTGCCATTTTTTTGCCCTTCACAACCTTAATCCAAGCATCGAATCCACAATATTTAAACACTGTTTCATTTAAAACACTGTTTTCAAATTGTCGAGATTAGTAGTGCACTTTGATTACGTCGTTAGTAAGAGATATGATATCGCAGACGGTAAACAAAAACGTGTGACGGTGAGCTTGATTACGACGAACGATTAAAGTAACTAGACACATGCATTGTCACAGTTCTGTCGCCATTGAATAATGAGTGCGACCTTGCCACCAGCTTTCTTTTACACGCGGTAACGTAGCTGGTGAAGGTTGCGTTCTAACTGGAAATTAAATAATGTAGTTTTTTTACGAAAAACCTGTCACGCTGTATCACCGCATGCAGGGGTGAGCGACAGCGTCCATTTAAGGCAAAATACGCCAAGGGCTCGTTCACAATTACCATGAGGGCCGACCATTGGTTGAGAACCTTACTCATCAATTGACGCACCAGACTGAGATCAAATATTGAGTCTTAGTAAAAGTGAGTCTGGTTGAAGAGAATTCTCGTTAGAATGTGCCTGAGTGAGTCTAATTGAAATAATATATACCGAGTTTAAATCAGAGTGAGTAGTATCAAGAAAAACTTGCTGAGTGTTACTGCGAAGTGCAAAGTATATTGTTTGATAAGTCAGAGTGAGTTTGACATATTTTTTTAACTTAAGGAGCAGACACAGTGTGGTGTTCATGAGTCCATGAACGGAGTGCGCGGAAGCTATGAAAGATTTGATTGAAGACTATGTCAAAATATTTTAATACCCATCGTGTAACCCGTAGTAACAACTGTGGCCGCTTTTCAAGTAGGGCTGCGAAGAATAAAGAAGGTTTTCCTTGTCACAGTTCAATTGAACCGTTACATACTTACTAGTGCTCGGCGATCTCCATGTAGCTGCTGCAACGATTTGAATCAGTGGCTGCGGTGTTAAGCATGCTGCGCGAATATAAGGCTCGTTTCGGTGCATGTTTGGGAAGCAATCCACGAAAAATACACGAACTGATTTGTGTTTCTTCGTGTGCCGCAGAAAACAGCGAACAGGAGTGCGGGTCAGGAAGCTCTGGTGGTGGCTCAGGTGGAGGAGGCGGCTCCAAAGCCAAGACAAAGCGAGTGCGTACAACCTTTACCGAAGAGCAGCTAAGGTGCTGCAGGCCAACTTCAACCTGGACTCGAACCCGGACGGGCAGGACCTGGAGCGCATCGCGCAGATCACGGGGCTCAGCAAGCGCGTCACCCAGGTGTGGTTCCAGAACTCACGCGCCCGTCAAAAGAAGTACTTCAACAACCAGGCAAAAAAAGGTGCGCCTCAGTTTTCTCGCGCTTGAGCCGCATTGCTGATTCGAGGACGCTAATTGGTCAGCAGTGTGTGGCAAGGCCGTGAATAGAGAGCTCATGAGCTCTGCCGTACAAACGAACGGTGCTGCCTACGGCACCCTAATTGATATCGGAGAGGCGAGAGCTCCCTATGCTGAACTTGATATTCGCTATTTTAATGCTTTTGTTTACTTCATTTGCTGTTATGCCTCTAGTACTAAATTTAGGAATGCAGATGTGACTTAGTGCCTACGTTTTAATTCGCTGCACACACAGACTATGGGCCTACTGCGAGTTCGCACTAAACGTATAGCTAAGGGTGAGTTTCGGTGCTACACTCCCCCAGAAAGTGAGAACAAATGTCAGGGCTGGGCTCTTGTTGTCAAAAGTGCTTTAAGCGTCCACTGTAGACTATCTTTATTCAGATTCACTTGATGCCACAGAGTAAATCAATGTTTTTCACAAAACATTGATGGTTCGCGCCAAAGCGACGAGGTGCCGTCTGGGCTGGCTGGAGAAACAGTGCTGATGTGGACACCTAATTGCCTTCTGCTACAGGGGCAAACAACGTGATTTAAAGTGATTCCCGGTGTGGTGTAGTGCATTTTTTAGTATCGCATTGTAGTAATCGTATGCATATTCTAAGCGTGTCATCGTGTTCCACGTGAAAACCAAATCGATAATTTCACCCCGCGTGTCGCACGTTCTCTATGTGCGAGTGAAGGCCTGTGAGGGCTCCCAGCAGTTGAAACTCAAGCGGGTATAAAACGCACTGGTCTTTTTAGTCCGGCGAATACGCGTATAAGGATACCACAAGGAAGAAGAACTGAGCGTGCTTGGCTGCGCTGTATAATTAGAAGGATTTCAGGATCGCTGGTACCATTTTTCGCTTTGAAATATATGAATGTTTATAGTACCTTTCTATATAGAGAGGTTCTTACATTGACGGACACGAAAGGCGATCAACGACACAAAATTATTAATGAATCAACTTGTTACCAGTGCTGCGCAATATATTGAGGAAATAACTACAAACAGGAAAACAGAATGACTCAACTCATTATATTCTAGGGAGCTGCTGCCGCAAGGGCTACTATATGCTATATGATAGCCCTGTGATAAGCCACGTAACTCATAAATCACCGAATTTCAAGATCCTTCTTAGATGTTTTTCATAGACTTAAAAAATGAAAACTCAGAAATTATGAAAGTTTCGAAGAAATTAGTGCTCATTTCACAAGTGAAGACAAGTCCATTTGGCTCCAGGGAAATTCCCTGTTTAACCATCTCTTATACACTTCAGAAAAAAAATGGGCTAAGTACAGGCATCGGTACTCTTGAAGCTTTGCGTCATCAAGAACTACTTCGAAGACAAAATTCTTAGGCAACATCTACAAATTTTTCGCAGCCACTTTGCTGCTTGACAAAAAAAAGCGATGGAATCACAATACAGAGAGGAATTAGACAAGGTGACACCATATCGTCAATGTTCCCTCTGCATGCTTAGAATAAATACTCAAATGAATTGGCTGGGAAGGAATGGAAAAATCGACAGGCTCTGTTCTAGAAAGGAGGACACTGTTCTAGAGAGAAGGAAACCTGGCTGCACTTATGCAGATGAATGCATGCACACTTTTGTTTTCATCAGGTCAGTCCTTTGAACGCCTCACGCGAGGTTTTATTGTTTGTCTTTCTCAAAGGTGGGCAGATTTCATCAAAGTACACAACACCAATGTAAAAGTCAATGTGCGCGTCTACGTACCCGCACGTCTAAATTATAGTGCGGCTGATGACAGTGATAATAAGTTATTTCTAAACCTCTTCCAAGCGGTAGCACGTATTACACCATTGTTTCAACATTCATTGTGCGCCATTTCTTTGCTGTGCAGAAGTGGACGAAACCGTGTTTGTGCCAAGTGAATTATAGGGGCGCCGAGTCTCTTATAGGGAAGACCTCGCTCAACTCCGTTTCCACAGGCGTTCGCTTACGTAAGAGCAACAGTCCACTGTGGTGGTGTGATGGTTACGGCGCTTGGTTGCTGACCTGAAATTCGCGGGTTCAATCCCAGCCGTGTGGGTAACCTTTCGATGAAAGTGAAATACTGGAGGCCCCGTGTAGTGTGCAATGTCAGTACACGTTCAAGAGCACCAGATGGTCGATAAGTTCGTAGCCCAGCACTAGAGCATATCTCATATTTGTATCTAGGTTTGGCACGCAGAACTCGAGATATCTTTACTGTAGAAAAACTAGGCAAAGAGACAGCACCCGTTCTTTGTCAGGCTGTTCTGTTCTCTTCTTGTCGTCTTCTTCGTCTCATAAATATGCGCCTGAGCCCGATCGCCGCTTTGTCATCACTACACTACACATCGACATACGCTGGACACAATCTTTACTTTTGTCGTCCATGACGATTTCACAATTGCGGAAACTTTGTGTCGTGTGGAAGAGACACGTTGACTTGCCTGCTTACGAACACTGGCAGCGCAAGAGTCCTCCAAAACTTGTTACGACAGTCAAGACCAGCATGTAACCTATGCTCCCGGTGATCTAGTGTGAGTGTGGACCCCAATACGCAGACGTGGCTTGAGCCAACCGCTACTGGCATACTCCGCCGGTCTGTTTGTGATACTCCATCGTCTCAGTGAGGTCAACTATGGAACTGCACACGTCACCACTAGTGGCCGACGTTCATGCAAGACAGAGGTGACGCATGTTGCCCGCCTGAAGCCGTTTACGCGAAGGATACAAAAATGACTTGCCCTGAGGGCTTCGTCGGAGACAGGAGAAATGATACGAAGTGTCACTACTAGGAAAAAAGGAAGCGTGGGCAGAGAAGGAAGACGACGTTGCTTCTACTGTGATCGCAGTCGCAGTGCTCATTAAAAACCTCCTTAAGTTACCTCACCTTACGTAACCATATTTTAAAGGACTGACGCGTACGTGCAGGTAGCATCGCGGCATATCAGCACCTAAAACTATACCGTCTTTAGGCAAAAAAAAAAGCCATTTCGTACAGTGTGCCTCTGTACATACTTTTTCTTTGTCTTTCTTTTTTAACGCTTACACCTGCTAGAAGCACGTTGCACATACGTGTATTGATAGAAATGTTATTACGATGTAGCCTAAAGCGCATAATGAAACGATATCGAGCACGTTAAAGAACCCCATGTCTTCGAAATTTCGGGAGCCCTCCACTATCGCATCTCTCATAATCATATGGTGGTTTTGGGACGATAAACCCCGCATATCAATCAACGATATCAAGCACTTCATGCAGTGCAGAGAAAATGTACGACAAGCAACTAAACGCCCTTGATAAGTGATCACATCACTCACTGTATGAGTGATGCAGGCACTTACACAACATCGCGCATAGCAGTGTGAACTCGTTAAGTCACACGTTTAATCGGGCATCTGCAACAGGCCCGCGAACGCATGCTGTTGTAAATGGCTGGCAGCCTACTTCGGCAGAGCTGCTGCAGACGCCCAGCTAGCGCTGTGTGAATACTACCTACGAAAACAGTACACTCACCGTTAACAGGCCCATGTTGTCCGTGTCCGCCGCTCTATGAATATTCCTTAATGCGAGCATCACTACGAACACGGAGTCATGCGTGACCACCATTGCAGATGAGCCTGTTCTTTGGTACTCACACAGTGACCAAGACCCCAGACCAACGCAACGCATTGGAAAGACGAATGAGACAAAAAGAGAGAAGAAGGAGGCACTGGCAGCGGCGTCGCAGCTCTTTTGAGTCTACTCAGCCGTTGCTGGGGCAACCCTGGCCGGGATGAGCTGTAAACCCGCAACAGGGCACCGAAAGGCAAGCGCTATGGCGCATACGGTGTTGGCTTCGACACGAAAGGCAATCAAATTGCGCTTCAAGAATGACTCCTTGGTAATGGCAACTCTGCTTTCCAGCAGCCACGCATCGGCGCAGGTTAATTGACGGCCTCGCGTTCTTTGAGTATTTTTACGGAATGCGACTGCGAACAATAGTGAAGCAAAACTTGCGGAAACCAACCCTGGAACGGCCAGAAACGATAATTCTTTCGTCCTCAGTGGGATCAGTGAGAAAGCATCGCTACACCTTTTTTAAGATGAGTTCCTTTCCGCATTGTCCGTGTCTGGCAATTCCGTATATAGTGCCGCAAACACTGAATGCGTAGTCGAAGCTGGAACAAATCAATCCGCAGCCGCGGATGTTTAAAAAGCTTGTAACGCACCACGAAACGGGCTGAGGTTTTACCACACTTCTTGCTCACCACATGATGAGCACATAATTCCATATGGTTGCCCAATGAGCTAACTAAGCACCTGTAGCAAAGGCAGGGCACGTTCTTGTTAATTGTTGTTAATATAAACAATAATTGTGCACAAGCGCAGTTACAGCTTTCCGCGTGAATTGGTCATAACCCACGTTTTCGAGTGTAGCAGCGCCTCAGTGTACCTAATCAACTACCACAGCAAGTTCATAAGCAATGATGAGGTACGAGAATTTGCAGCTGTTTTCCACGTAATGAATTGCCCGTGTACAATGCGTTGACCACCGCCACTCCTTAAGCCACCTCTCATATAGACTCCAAGTCTGAACAGGTGTGGGACCTTAAACACTAAGAAGTAGTGAGCCCCCCTCTCTCCCCACACACAAAATTCGAGGGTGCACGGGCTGATACACACGCATACACATGCACAGGCGCACACACATACACATATACACACATACGGCTGCACGCACATGCCACCGTAAATGTACACATGCATGGATGTACACATGCGCACAGGCACGCTTAATACAAGCACGGACTTACACATACACAAGCAGGCATGCATAGGTGTACACACAATCGCGCTTACACACGAACACATGTGCAGGTTCACGCACACAAACACACACATACTCGGGCGAATATTATGTGTGCGTTACCTGTAGCTTATAACCAACGCTAAGGAAAGCTTTTCTAACATGAATTGCAGTTATTT